AAAAAATAAAAATTTGTAATGTTATCAAATATTCAGTTTTCCAATTTCCACATCCTCCAATAATGTATTTTTTTTTCACTTGTTCTGAATTAATATAAAGTCAATATGTTGCTATCAAGTGATATTTATTAGTCTCTTTCAATAAACTAATAATCTATCTCTTTTTGTTCTCATATTTATTTATCAAATAAACTGGTTTGGATGTCCTATAACTTTTTACATTCTGAGTTCTGCTGACTGCATATTGTTGGTATCATTTAGCATGTTCCTCTATCCTCTATATTTCCTGTAAATAGGTAGTTGGATCTAGAGGCATAATCATATCCAGTTGGGTTTTTTTTTTTTGGCAAGACCACTTCATAGGTGATGTTGAATTATTTCATCAGAAAGTACATGATGTCACTTCATGGTATTAATAGTTATTGACACTTCATGCTGAGATCCATTAATTAATTTGGGTTTTTAAGTTGGTGATACCCTAACTTTATTATTCCTTACTCATGTACTAGCTGGGATGCTTTTATACAGAGAAGTTTTCACTTATCTACTATTTAACCGGTATAACTTCATTTAGGAAGGATAAGAAAAATGCTTCATTTTTCTCTTTTTATCAGTTGGCAAATAATAAGTTGGTTCACTAGCAATTAGTTATTTTCCACTTCCTTCCTTCCCCTCCCTTCCCTCCTTCCTCTCTCTCTCCTTTCTTTCAACTCACTGATTGCAACATTTTTAATACATTTCATTTCATTGCAGTTACTGTCTTTACTGATTTTCAAATTGCCCCATCTTTGCTCAGTAGGAGCTTCCTCAGGTTGGTTCCCACGTCCTTTTGACACAGTGCTCCTTGGGCATTTTGTATATTTCTAGGATTATTTTGTATATTTTCAGGCTTATTTTGTATATTTCCTGCTCTGAACATGGAGTTAGAGGTTTATACACATTTCTCAGATGTGACTTTTTTCTTTCATGAAAAATTTTATTTGGAGTAAAAAATTTCAAGAGGTCCATTGCTAAAGAGTGGCTCAGTATTATAGGTCTTTCCAGGAAGCAGAACTAGCAAGTATATTACCTAAAGATGAAATATATCTTGAGTTTATGCTAATTTTTTTCCAATTCCAATTCAATACTATTGGGTTTCTGTGTTGCTAGCTTCTTTATTATTACACATATTGTGAATTGTACCAAAATCCCTCCTACTTTCAACTGTTGGTATTAAATTAGCTAGCTTTAACTTCCAGGGGGGTATCTGTGAGTTAGGCTTAAGATCTTGCGTTCTTAAGTCTGTCAGCACCCTAACTTCCTTGGGTTTCCTCCCATATAGGTGCTGATGTTATGCTGATTTTGTAGATGATATGATGCTCCTTTCTCCCTACCTGTTCATATTAGGGGTTCAGGGGGATACTTTATCACCTAGCTTTGTTTTAGTTTCAGTCAGGGTTTTTGCTTGACATCCTAATTCCTGTCTTCAATGAGAACATTGATGAAATTCACAAACTGCACTCTCATCTTCCTCTTGAAGTGTATTTTAAGTTTTATGCTATGCTGTAAAAGATGAATTGTTTTCAAACGTATTTTAATAGAATTCCTGTTTATAGCTTCAGGTTCCAAAGATTTAAAGGAAAAAGAGAACTAAGTTTCCTCAGGTGATAGTTCAGTTCAATTGCTCAGTTGTGTCCAACTCTGTGACCCCAAGGACTGAAGCACACCAGGCCTCCTTGTCCAACACCAACTCCTGGAGTTTACCCAAACTCATGTCCATTGAGTTGGTGATGCCATCCAGCCATCTCATCCTCTGTTGTCCCCTTCTTCTCCAGCCTTCAATCTTTCCCAGCATCNTACAGGTTTCTCAAGAGGCAGGTCAGGTGGTCTGGTATTCATATCTCTTTCAGAATTTTCCATAGTTTATTGTGATCCACACAGTCAAAGCCTTTGGCATAGTCAACAAAGCAGAAATAGATGTTTTTCTGGAACTCTCTTGCTTTTTCTATGATCCAGTGGATGTGGTAGGGATGTTTAATAAATGGGTCACTCTCATCTTTGTGAGTAACTGGAGATTTCATAGAGAAACTCAGCTGAAATGACTATGTTTAACACTATGTAACAAAAATCCATTTTTATAAAATTTAGTATTTCAATGAGAAGGAAAATGGAGGGAGATACCACAAAATACTTTTCTTTTCAAAAATCAATTCTGAATAGTTGAAAGGCAAGATAACAGAAAAAGGATAAAGGAGAACCGACTAGTATCTATCTTTGAAAAATAACCAATTTTAGTAAAATATTTTGTGCACATTTCCTCCAAGTATCCATTTGTGAAGACCAGAAATAATTTAAAAGTCCAGGCCTAAAAATAGATAATATTATAGCAAATAATCCAGAGCTTGCTAAAACTAATTTAACTATTAGAGAGGTTTCTAGAGAATACTTTAGTCTCTAGTATTAACTTGGGTATTTTCATCTTTACAACACAAAAACTATAAAATATTTTAGAATAAAATTAGAAACTTGCACTGTTTATTTACCACCTATTATCTTGTGGTTCAATAACTTTTGTATCAAGATATATTCACATAGCATAAAATCCACCATTTTAAGTGTATAACTGAGTGTATCCATATCTATATTTACAAGGAGGCAAAGCCATCACAACTATCTCATTTCAGAACATTTTCATTATCCTCCCCCTCAAAAACCCCAGACCTGTTAGTAGTCACTCCCCATTCCCTATCCTCATGCCTTGACAGCTATGAATCTACTTTCGGTCTCTATGGAGTTGCCTATTGTCTTTTCACACAAACCCCAAATACAGTGCCTAAATATACAAAACTTTTAAATCAAAAATATATTTTCCACCATTGGTATGGAAGTATTTCTTCCCAGGTGAAAAATCTCTACATGCATATTATTCTGTTGTGCAAAGCACAATGCTCCATGTTATATTCTTTGAATCTTATACGTTTTGAATTGATGCTACTTGATAGCTAATATCTATTATTCTTTTCTTATTCAGCTGCCTCATTTATTGCTTGGATTATAGAGATTTAAACCCCCTTTCTTCAGCCTGAGTGACCAGAAATGTCTTTTTTGCCTGGTCAAGTAAATCAAATGGTCAGGTTAGGGGTATTTCAATGTCCTCATTTCTTAAATACTCACAAAAGCTTTCCTGGAAGCTTTACTATTTCTACTATTCATGTTACTGATTCATATACTCTTCTATAAAAGAATGATTGCATCCCTACTATGTGCTATGCTCTATGTACTATATACTAAGTGCTGGGAAAACAGGAATGCTTCCNAGCTTTCCTGGAAGCTTTACTATTTCTACTATTCATGTTACTGATTCATATACTCTTCTATAAAAGAATGATTGCATCCCTACTATGTGCTATGCTCTATGTACTATATACTAAGTGCTGGGAAAACAGGAATGCTTCCAAGTCACTAGTTTCCACTTTAGAGTTGTCATAAGGGCAAATAGGTTATTGCCATAGAGTGTGGTAAGAGCAGCAAGAGGATAGTCCAAGCGGTTCTGGAAGCACACTTCAGCTTTGGCAGTCTGCAGAAAGCTTCCTTGAAAAATTTTTACCTAAACCAAAACCCTAAGGATGAGCAGGAGATAAGTGATAGGGGGAAATAAGGATGGGGCCAAAGATAACTCAAAATACTTCCTTGGATTCTAATTACATTAATTTAATAAAGTTAATTTTCACCTATTCTGAGCAAAGTCCTATAGGGTATGGAAAGATAAATGTAGAGCATATGAAAATGTATATGAAGTTAATATTTTTGAACAAATAGATGAATAAATATTTCCCAGCCAATGCCAGGAACTTTCTAACAGAAGAAATATAACCTGTTGCACGCTTTATCCTCAGCACTTACAAAAAGACTAACACAGAACAAGAATACAACACTAGTTTGGTACTAATCATAACAATGATCAAAATGGGAACTAGCTCTAGGGAAAAAATGTTTTGTAAAAAAGTAAATATGCTTAGAGAACCAGGAAATTAAAACTGATGCATTGGTCAAGCTGCTGCTGCTTCAGTCGTGTCCGACTCTGTGTGACCCCATAGACAGCAGCCCACCAGGCTCCCCCATCCCTGGGATTCCCCAGGCAAGAACACTGGAGTGGGTTGCCATTTCCTTCTCCAATGAATGAAAGTGAAAAGTGAAAGTGAAGTTGCTCAGTCATGTCCGACTCAGCGACCCCATGGACTGCAGCCTACCAGGCTCCTCTGTCCATGGGATTTTCCAGGCAAGAGTACTGGAGTGGGGTGCCATTGCCTTCTCCGATTGGTCAAGCTAACCCCACATAAAACTCCTGAAACAAATTCTGAATTGTCAGGTGCTCAGTGCAACAGTTTACTATGTACTTGCTCATATTACAATCAGACATGGGGCAGAAAGATTTCCTTCACATTTTCCCATCTAGCAGAGAATTGAGAATCCAGGTTGCTTCCATTTTTCCAGCTTTACTGAGGTATAGTTGATAAATAAAATTGTAATATATTTAAAGCATATAATGTGATGATTTGATGTACATATACATTATGAAAGGATTCCAATCAGAGCTGATCAACTGATGGATGTTAATCTACATCCATCAGCTCNGTATAGTTGATAAATAAAATTGTAATATATTTAAAGCATATAATGTGATGATTTGATGTACATATACATTATGAAAGGATTCCAATCAGAGCTGATCAACTGATGGATGTTAATCTACATCCATCAGCTCACATATTTGCCAATTTGTGTGTGTGAAAACACTTAAAATCTAATCTCTTAGCAAATTTAAATTATACACAATAGTGTTATCAACTATAGTCACTATGTTATACATTAGATTCCCAGACCTTGTTCTTCTTATAACTGAAACTTTGTATCCTTTTATCAGCCTCTTCTTATCTGCCACACTCTCTAGCTCTTGGCAACAACCCTTCTATTCTGTTTCTATGAGTACAATTCTTTTCAAGATTCTACATCTAAATGATTCCATGCAGTATTTAAAGGAATGATTCTCCCTTGCAAATGTGTTTGAGGAGAAATTCTAAGTGGTATGGGTTTACCATATACCGTGTTTGTTACCCTGAATATACTTCTCCAGCAACACAAAAACAGATACGTATAAAATTATTATTTGCAGCATTATTTTATATATACAAATTAGTGGGAATGTCAAACACCTAACATTAATTGAATTAGCTATGGGTTATACCCCAAACAGAATAATATGCAGCCATAAAAAAGAAAGAAAAAGACCTATCTGAAGGGATATGAATTACTTTCCAAGATATACTGGTAAGCAAAAAGATTAAAGAGCAAAAGATATATATGCTAAGTTTCCTTTTGCGTTAGAAATAAACCAATAAGCATACATCTACTTGTTTTTGAAAAAAGAAACAGATTGGAGCAAAATTATCATTGAAATCTGAACAACCTGGTTTTCCCATCGAGCAGAGAATGGAGACTGTGTAAGCATGCACACACTTACAGGTGGATTTTATTTTCTACGGTAAGTACTTCTGTACTACAAAATTGGTGGTTGGTTCAATCAGTGGTGCAGAGGAACCATGGACAAAGGAACTCTAAGTTATATTCAGATTTTCAACTGTGCAGTAGGTCCATACCTCTAACCCCCAATTCCCATGTTGTTAAATGGTCAAGTGTAATGTGATTGCCAGAAGGAATAGTTGGATTTGGGTGAAAGGGAAATAGGGTGACATTTCCTGGAATATAATTTTAGGTACAGAATTAATGGAATCATGCTAATATTAAAGGGAAAAAAACAAATAACTAAATTAAATGAACAAAGATGAGAGAAAACATAAAATGGAACAGGAATATTAAAAAAAACAAAACCCTAACTATATTTTCTATGAACAACACACCCACACCAAAGGAGAAAAAAAGCAAGTGATTTTTGAGCACAATATTTTGACTTTAGATTCCCAGCCCCCAAAGAACTGTAAGAATGCAGGTTTATTTTCTTTTTTGTAGTGGTATAGGCTAGCAATTCTGAAACTACTTTTTGTGCATTATAGACTTAAGCTCAGTGCTGAGAATAAGATAATTCAGTATGTGTATACTGTTTAATCATTGAAAAGTATGTTAGTTGCTCAGTCGTGACTGACTCTTGAGACCCCATGAACTATAGCCTGCCAAGCTCCTCTGTCCATGGGATTCTCTAGGCAAGAATAGTGGAGTGGGTTGCCATTCCCTTCACCAGGAGATCTTCCCAACCCAGGGATCAAACCCTGGTCTCCTGCATTGCAGGTGGATTCTTTACTGTCTGAGCCACCAGGGGAGCCCCATTATTTTATTCTAATACTGATCACATAATTATTCTGATTCTGTTTACACTTCATTGACAAATCTGAGATGATGAAAACATTTGAGAACACATGGCCAATGTAGTCAGGCTAATAAAATAGCTGCAAAAAATCTGCAATATACAAAACAAGTTTTCACTGTTCTCTTTCTCTCCAGCATTATCACAGCTAAAATCAATTTAAATTTGTGATTTAATCACAGCATATCTATTGGTTGATTACCTTCTAGTATTTTCCTAAATGTCTGTGCTCCTTCATCTGGAGATAGTTTTAAAAGATTTAAAATACGGGAAGAATCCAAAGTATTCTAAAAACACTAATCAAATTCAAATCCCAATAGGACTGCTTTGTCAAAGTTGAAAAACCAGTGCCTACATTCATGTAGAAGTGTGTAGGCCCAAGAATATCTAAGAACAACAACAACAACAACAAAAATAGGAAAGAAGTGTTCTATCTGATTTTAAGATTTATAATAAGGCAATAATTAAGGTAATGTGAAAATGACTCAGTGTTCAAGTGTTGATTTAAATCAACAAGAAAGATACAAGAGCCAAGAAAGACCCATGGATATTTGGAAACCCTTAGGTGATGGAAACGGCATTCCAAATCAAGGAAAAAGAAAATACTGTTCTGTAACTGGTATTAGGACATGTTGCTCACTATATGGAAGAAAAAGAACAGATAGCTATGTCATCTCATAAATGAAAATCAGTTCATGGTATGATAAAAATCTAAATTGGAAAAATAAAATTGTTGGGAATTAAATTTTGGAGAACATCTTCATGACTAAAAGATAGATTAAGAAATAATTTAAGTAACACTTATAAACCATTAACCTTAAAAGTAAAGCTGATAGATATGACTGTGTAAAAATTTTAAACTTCTGTAGGATGAAAAAAAACAGAGTCAAGCCTAAAAGTTTACAGCAAGACATTTGTACTACAGATGATAGGCAAACAGATTAGTATCCAGAAAATCTGGAAAAGGCTTATGAATCAATCAGAAAAGGACAAGTATGAAAAGGCAATTCGCAGAGGGAGAAACACTTGGAAAATAAACTTGTGAAAGCATACTCAACTTGACTAGAAATCAGGAAACCATAAATTAAAACAGCCATATGATTGTATTTCACACCAGTTAGCTTGGCAAAAATTTTAGGAGCTTTACAGTTTTAAAGGTTAGAGTGGTAATTCTGGACTTCTTATATTCTGATGGAGGGCATGTTGATTAGCACAACCACTTTGCGGGGCAACCTGGTGCTTTTGAGCAAAACTGAAAATGTGCACAGTGTGGCTCAGTCATTTCTCATCTAGGTAACACCCCAGAAAGATTCTTCCACCTGTGGACAATGCTATATTCACATAGTTGTTCAGCGCCAACAGTAGGATGCTATGTAAATAAAACATGATGCAATCATATGATGTACTGGAATTTAACAGAATGACTGAAAAAATATATAAGGATCAACATCAACAGTACTCAAAAGGATGCACAAAGACATCTGCAGAAAAATATGCACAGCATATATTTTTAAAAAGAAAGCATTATTTACTTTCAAGTATGAATGCACAAAAGTTAAAAAAGAAAAAAACAAAACAACTCAGCAGACTAAGCATGAAGAAAGATAGACATCAAACTTAAAAACTCTGTGGAGAAAGGAAGTTGGATAGGAGTGGGAAGGGGATATCAGTGAATTTCATTTTGCCTATAATAGTTTATTTAAAAATAATTTAAGAAAATAGGATACAATGTCAGTGTATATCAAATTTGGGCTGTGATGATAGGGTAATTTTTACGTTACTTATTTCACTTTTAAGTACCTTAAGATGTCTTTGAAATATTAAAATATACATAAAAGCATGTAAATAAAACTGAAAAAATATGGGATTTGGAAAATATTATTTTTTATTTTAAGATTTATCAATTTGTCCTCATTACAGTATTTCTTCAGAGAAATGTTCCATGGATCAATCCATACCTCATGACATACATTGAGTTTTATAATGAAAGTCTGCAGAATTATGGATAAGCTAGCGGGAGGAAGACAGTCTAAAGCAGTAGGTGGTATTCTGGTCTTGACTACCATACTATGTCACTACAGTTAAATGACACGGGGTTAAGGATCATAAATATCCTGGTCAAAAAACATTTTGCTATGTTTCTTTGAAGTATTTCACATTCTTTTGAAATTTTATTTAAAAACCTGAAATATAAAACACCCATGTTCAAGATCACTCCTTGCGTTTATTTTCAAAGTACTTTTAACAAGTGTTACTGTTGTTTTGTTCCTTCCATTTCAGACAACTGACTCTTCATCTGACATCAGCCTTAACTTCTTTACATGTACTTTAGCCTTGAAGAATCTTGCTACCCAGTTTGGTAGGTTCTCCGCTCTTTCATTCAAAGGGCATGTCAGTTCTCTTTGAGGAAGCATCTGCTTCTTAGGAAAAAGGTGGTAATTATATTTGACAAGCAGCTCCTTCTGCCCTAACAAATGAGCTCATTAAATGACAGTAACTTTACTAGTATTTAATTAACAATTTAGTAACTTATGTTTGCGTGCTATATCTTCAGTTCATAGAAGGCAAGAATCCTTCTGATTCATTTGCTTCATATAGTGCCTGACAACCTCATCTGCACTGGTGTTCTGATGAGTATAGAAGGTACTGTGCTTAGAACACCATCCAGGCACATGATCTGTTCCAGGGCCCTGTTGATGATGTTACAAGTCATTGATTAATCTTAGGATAGAGAAGATGTAATGGTGATGGTAGCTTAAGAAATTTTACATAGTAGCTTAAACTTGTTTGTCAATTTAGAAGTTGAAAATAGGGTAGTGGTGTTTTGGGGAGATGTGTCTAGGTGGCTGTTGCTCAGTCGCTAAGTCATGTCTAATTCTTTGCGACTCTATGGATTGCAGCGTACCAGGCTTCCATGTCCTTCACTGTCTCCTGGAGTTTGCTCAAATTCATGTCCCCTGTGTTGGTGATGCTGTCTAACCATCTCATCCTCTGCTGCCCTCTTTACCTCCTGCCTTCAATCTTTCCCAGCACCAGGGTATTTTCCAGTGAGTCAGCTCTCATTTAAAAAGACCCTGATGCTTGCTCAAACTCATGTCCATCGAGTTGGTGATGCCATCTAACCATCTCATCTTCTGTCGTCCCCTTCTCCTGCCTTCTGTCTTTCCCAGCATCAGGGTCTTTTCTTATGAGTCACCTCTTTACATCAGGTGGCCAAAGTATTGGAGCTTCAGCTTTAGCATCAGTCCTTCCAATGAATGTTCAGGGTTGATTTCCTTTAGGATTGACTGGTTTGATCTACTTTCTGTCCAAGCTACTCTCAAAAATCTTCTCCAGCACCACAATTTGAAAGCACCAGTTCTTCAGTGCTCAGTCTTCTTTATGGTCCAATTCTCATATCTGTACATCACTACTGGAAAAATCATAGCTTTGACTATAAGTTGAACCCATGTCAAATCTTCATCTCAAAGATGAATGGTGAGGTAGTTTATCAAAGAGGTTAATATCATCCTCCCACCCCCTCTAAAACCCATGGCACTTCTGCTATCAGCCTAACTGCACAAAGAGGAGGGCTGGGGAGGGCTACAGTGGGATGCTCGGGAAAATCTTCTTTCCATAAGTCTGATTAAATAATAGGAATGAGAACTAGAGCTGGAAAGGTGCCCAAGAAAACCGCTAGTCTTTGAATGTGTCATAGGATTCAGGCTTTCACCCAGAAAAGGAAGAAGGCACCTTTCTTCATCTTTCTGTCCATCTTTGTTGTTTCAGGGAAATGTCCAGAATTGTGCTTTTAAAAGATGTTTAGTCACCAATTATATGAAACATGATTCAGAGAGGGAAAAGAATTCACCCAGATAGCCCGAACAAAGAGATTTTAATGAGGTTCTAGTTATGGTGGCAAGGGGTGAAGGTGGGATTAAGCGGAAAAGCAAGGAATTAGGCACCCAGAGACAAGCATCACAGGAAGCTGTAACTACCTCTGAATCCTAAGGGTCAGAGGGAGAAACAGTCAATGACGCCTAGGTCAGGCTGGGAGAGCAGAGGAGGGGCTTCAGGAGGGGACTTTAACTTGCCATTCAGGGAAGAAGCAGGGAAAGATCCCTCTTCCTACAACTTCCTCATTATTACTTCCTTTTGTTTTATAATCTCAAACTTTCACAGTAAGAGTGCCTGAGAAATGCTCCAGGCAGCCTCCCCAGGACTCAAAGCTGGGCAGAAAAGTTTAAAGAATGGATCTAGAAAGGCAACCAAATCATAATTGGCACAATGGTAATAACAAAGCAGTTCTATATTCTAGTAAAATTTTATATTAAATTCAAATGGCACATTTATTAATGTTAATTTTGTATTCATTTTGTATCTTTTGTATTCATCTTGTGTATATATATTTTGTGTGTGTGTGTTTATCACCTCTAAAGCAAATGTGGGAGATAAATATCACTGAGAAATTGAGTCAGAATTCAAACGCATATCCACCTAACACAAAATCCATGCTGTTTCTATTTCCATAGTGATCACCATGGGAAAAGATAAGAGTCATGTGCTCTCATAGGCAGTATGGAGGAATTCATGAGGAACAAACTCAAGTGCAAAGAAGTGACTTCTCTAGTAAAGTTGGGATTAGATCTCTTGCCTCCTGAACTCCTAATTAAATGTTGTTTGTTTTTCCAAATAAATTTTACAGATATCATTATCTTCTAACACTTTTTTTTGGTGAATGTTTATACTTGTGAAAATTTATGAGCAGATCAAGTTAGCATATTGAATAACTGCATCTATCCTTCTACCTCACTAAAATCCCAATACTGTACAATAAAACTAAAAAAAAAAAAAAGGTATAAATCCAAAATAATGAAGAAAGGAATGGGAAAAAAATGTCGGACAGGAAATTCCATCAAACTTCCAGAAGATGGAAAAAGGATAGAAATTTCAGCCAATGAAACTAAGTAGAAGCCCCAGAGCCTAAAATATACAGACAAAAGTCTCCAAGAATAAGGCAGCTGACTTCCCCTAGCAGAATACTGATGAAACTCCCAACTGAAATTTGTAAGTACAACAGGGCATGCATGAAAGATGGATCTAAAACCATAGGGGATAATTAATCAGAAGTCTATATAGAACAATAAACCACCCCATATTGAGTTACAGAGGGATGACAGCCAAGCATTTACATTTTAGACCAAATGAGCCTCAGATAGTTTTCATTCCAAATAAGTTGAACAAATTGTCTTAGATGATTTTGAAGCAGCTAGTATGAATAACTGTGCCCCAGAATAAAATCCTTTATTTTCTACCACTTGCAGAGCCCATCTTACCTTACTTATCTTAAAACTAACCCTGGTAGTTATAAAACTTCTCTCAGTAATACAGGACTCTCAGCCAATCTTCCTATTGCCTTATTCTTATGTTTGACTAAATAATCAACTTTAATCAAACATTTGAGAACAGTCTAAAACAGAAAAAATACAGCTCATAAACAAATAGAAAACTGATCCTTGACTTAGGACACAGAAATGAACTTAAACACATGAGCAAGCAAACAGCCAAAAACAACTAAAAATAAATGCCCCTCTTAAAACTGTACTCAAGTAATTGAGAAGATATGAACCTCCAAATCAAGGAAATACTATAAAACTGGAACAATTACATAATAAAAGATTTTTAAAACTAAAAATAGGGTTGCTAAAATAAAATAAAATCTCCATTAGAGATGGAGTAAGTAAATTCCCCTAAGATATAGAACAAAAAAAACAATAAAATGTGGGAGAAAGGAAAATATATTTAAGGTCAACTCAGAGATACAACATTTGACTGTAGCTCAGGAATGGAAGACCTGCGTGTAAGCTAAGATACCTGCAATAAAACTTATACCTAGACACATCAATGTGACATTTCAGTACAGGAAAAGAGAGATCATATAAGCTTCCAGAAAAGCAAAAACTGAAGACCTCAAAGAATCAAGAATCAGTGTATAAAAAACTCTCAATGACAAAACTGGAGCAATGCCTTTTAATTTGCAATGGTAAAATTATTTTATTTCTACTTATTCAAATCATTAGTTTAGTTTTTTCTTTTTTTGAGATCAGAGTAAAGACAATTTTTAGACATGTAAAAGATACAAATTTGACCCTTTTTTTTTTTCAAAGCACATATTCCAATTTTTAAAAAATTTTTTATTTTTTGAAAGTTGTTCAGTCGTGTCCAACTCTTTGCGACCCCAAGGACTATATAGTCCATGCAATTCTCCAGACCAGGACACTGGAGTGGGTAGCATTTCCCTTCCCTTCTCAAGGGGATCTTCCTAACCCAGGGATCAAACTTAGGTCTCCCACACTACAGGCGAATTCTTTACCAGCTGAGGCACAAGGGAAGTCCAAGAATACTGGAGTAGGTAGCCTATCCCTTCTTCAGTGGATATTCCCAACCCAGGAATCGAACCAGGGTCTCCTGCATCAAAGGTGGATTCTTTACCAGCTGAGCTACCAGGGAAGCCCAGGATGCTCCTATAAGGATACTTAAAGATGTGTTCTAGCAAAGAGGTAACCCTAGAAACAGGAAGTTATAGGATCCTAGAAACAGTTATTATATACTAAGACAGCAATAAGGGATTCCCCAATAGGCCTAGGAAGAAATCAATCCAAATTTGAGCAGAGAACAGAGGACTCTTTAAAATGGATCAGTGAAATCCATTTAAAACATGAAAAAGGCAGAGAGCAAAGAAAAAAAGATAATTAGATACTTATAAAGAATAGCACACTGTGCAAAACAGTCATGGTCCAAATTGCAACAAGAAATGAAGACTTCAAGGAAAATAGCTAAGTGGATTCTACCAGTAGAAAAAGCGTGTAAACACTGGAAGGGTAGAGAATATGGTAAATACTGTTTATGTGTCACCTTCATGCAAAGGAGACATCAATAAATGCTGTTAACAATGAATAAAGTCAATTGGAAAAGGCAATTCAAATATAAAGCAAAATGCAGCATGTTTTTGAAGAGTTACTGGCATATAAGAATGGGTAACTTTCTAACATTTACCTTTAAGTAATATAGGGGGCTATGTATTTAAACTGACAAGAAGGCAATATAATCATAGCACAATTTGTGATTCTCCTGTGAATAAGATTACATAGCCATTGTGTTGTAAATATAGAATTTAGGCCACCTATAGGCAAAATATAAGAGACTGTTTCAGAATTATGATTTTTGAACACAGTATTTTTGGCATACAATCAGCAAAAACAAGACCAGGAGCTGACTGTGTCTCAGATCATGAACTCCTTATTGCAAAACTTAGACTTAAATTGAAGAAAGTAGGGAAAACCATTAGACCAAGCAGGTATGACCTAAATCAAATCCCTAATGATTATACAGAGGAAGTGAAAAGCAGATTCAAGGGATTAAATCTGATAGACAGAGTGGCTGAAGAACTATGGACAGAGGTTCATGATAATGTACAGGAGGCAGTGATCAAGACCATCCCCAAGAAAAAGAAAGGCAAAAAGGCAAAATGGTTGTCTGAGGAGGCCTTACAAATAGCTGTGAAAAGAAGAGACGCAAAAGGCAAAGGAGAAAAGTAAAGACATACCCATTTGAATGCAGAGTTTCAAAGAATAGCAAGGAGAGATAAGAAAGTGTTTCTCAGTGATCAATGCAAAGAAATAGAGGAAAACAAGAGAATGGGAAAGACTAGAGACCTCTTCAAGAAAATTAGAGAATCCAAGGGAACATTTCATGCAAAGATGGGCACAAAGGACAGAAATGGTATGGACCTAACAGAAGCAGAAGATAGTAAGAAGAGGTGGCAAGAATACACAGAAGAACTATACAAAAAAGATCTTCATAACTCAGATAACCACGATGGCGTGATCACTCACCTAGAGCCAGACATCCTGGAATGGGAAGTCAAGTGGGCCTTGGGAAGCGTCGCTATGAACAAAGTTAGTGGAGGTGATGGAATTCCTGTTGAGCTATTTCAAATCCTGAAAGATGATGCTGTGAAAGTGCTGCACTCAATATGCCAGCAAATTTGGAAAACTCAGCAGTGGCCAGTGGGCTGGAAAGTCCAGTTTTCACTCCAATCCCAAAGAAAGTCAATGCCAAAGAATGCTCAAACTACCGCACAATTGCACTCATCTCACACACTAGCAAAGTAATGCTCAAAATTCTCTAAGTCAGGCTTCAACAGTATGTCAACTGTGAAATTCCAGATGTTCAAGCTGGATTTAGAAAAAGCAGAGAAACCAGAGATCAAATTGCCAATATTCGCTGGATCATCAAAAAAGCAGGAGAGTTCCAGAAAAACACCTACTTCTGCTTTATTGACTATGCCAAAACCTTTGACTGTGTGGATCACAACAAACTGTGGAAAACCCTTAAAGATACGGGAATACCAGACCACCTTACCTGTCTCCTGAGAAATCTGTGGGTCAAGGAGCCAACAGTGAGAACTGGAAATGGAACAACAGACTAGTTCCAACTTGGGAAAGAAGTGCGTCATGGCTGTATATTGTCACCCTACTTATTTAACTTATATGCTGAGTACATCATGCAAAATGCCGGGCTGGATGAAGCACAAGCTGAAATCAAGACTGCCCTGAGAAATATCAATAACCTCAGACATGCAGATGACACCACCCTTATGGCAAAAAGTGAAGAAGAATTAAGGAGCCTCTTGATGAAAGTGAAAGAGCAGAGTGAAAAAGTTGGCTTAAAACTCAACATTCAAAAAACTAAGATCATGGCATCTGGTCCCGTCAGTTCAAGGCAAATAGATGGGGAAACAATGAAAACAGTGAGAGACTTTATTTTGGGGGGCTCCAAATGCAGATGGTGCATCTGCAGATGCTGACTGCAGCCACGAAATTAAAAGACACTTGCTCCTTGGAAGAAAACCTATGACAAATCCAGACAGTGTATTAAAAAGCAGAGACATTATCAACAAAGATCCTTCTAGTCAAAGCTATGGTTTTTCCAGTAGTCATGTATGGATGTGAGAGTTGGACTATAAAGGAAGCTGAATGCTGAAGAATTGATGCTTTTGAACTGTGGTGTTGGAGAAGACCCTTAAAGTCCCTTGGACTGAAAGGAGATCTCACCAGTCAATCCTAAAGGAAATCAGTCCTGAATATTCCTTGGAAGGACTGATACTGATGCTGAAACTCTAATACTTTGGCCCCCTGATGCAAAGAACCGACTCTTTGGAAAAGACCCTGATGCTGGGAAAGATTGAAGGCAGGAGGAGAAGGGGATGACAGAGGATGAGATGGCTGGATGATATCACCGACTCGATGGACATGAGTTTAAGTATACTCCGGGAGTTGGTGATGGACAGGGAGGCCTGGCATGCTGTGATTCATGGGGTGCAAAGATTTGGACACAATTGAGCAACTGAACTGAACTGAAGTCTTCTACATTGGACTGTGATGGTGGATACATGACTTTGCCACGGTCCATAGCGCTGTATATTAATTTGTATGGCATAAAAATTAAATGGCATGAAGGTGATGGGAAGAAAGAAGAGAAATAATTTTGAAAAACAGTAAGGTCAGATTTACTAAGCCCGAAGTAAAAAAGAACTGTACACAAAACTATTGTATAGTTTATACATTTTTCCTTATAGAAATAAGATTTAGCAATTCTGAAACTACTGTATCAGTATGCTAGATTGAATAAATAAGTAAGTATATGTAGATTATGAGATCCCAGTCACCGTCACTGTCAGAAAAAGAATTTACAGATAAGCAAGCTGGAAATACTAGGACGAAGTCTATATAACAGATTAGAGTTTG